ATTGCATTTCAATCCTCTAGTCTTAATATCATTGCAATCAATGAGTTTGCACTTTCAAGCAATGAGACAGATCTCATACATCATTATTCTTCATGAACTTTATCTTTCATTCATGGCATTATCCACTTTGAGAGTTAGAGCTTTCTATAACTGACAAAAATTGTTTAGATCATCTTCCACCATTCTGAAGTCAACTCATGCTCTTGGAGAAATACAGCGTAATAATCCATAATTGCATTTCTCATTTCTCTAGTGGATCTTCTTAATGACATTAGTTCTTGAGTTTGTAGAGTTCACTCTTCTGGAATAACTTTTTAAGTATGCACAGGAGGTATTATAATATTGTCTAAGTATAAAAATTGCTTCTTGAATAATGATCGGTATAAGAATATGATCCTGATCATTGTCAATAGCAATCGAGGGAATATCAATGTATTCTTCTTTAAAGATAAGGTCCCGAATTCTTTCCCTCCCCCCCACTATCCCCGCAAACTTAACATCCTTAAAGAATCGACCATTTTTCGTCTCAAAAATTGACTTAGTCGTGAGATCATAAAACTTATAACCCCTGAATCTTTTAAAATAGGCAACAAAATAGCAATTGACATTTCTTGAATGCAGTTTCTTTTCATTTGGTTTATAAGGCCTGGTCTCAGTTGGACATCCCAAAATGTACAAATACTTTAAACTAAGTTTCTTGCCCGTCCAAACCTCGTAAGAGGTCTCTGTAGTCACTCTAGTTGGAACTCTATTAAGTGTATATGTAGTAGTTTTATACTTCTCCCTAGAGAGATTTAGGCAAGGTAGAATAACTAATCATGTTTTTCACCATATATATATAAGCATTCTATTTTGCTTTCCAGCAACACCATTCATGTTAGGCGAACCCGGTATGTTGTACGGTGGGAAGATACTACATTCCTCTAGAAATCTGGCAAATGGTCTTAGATGCTATTCACATGATTTGTCATATTTACCATAGTATTCATCATTACGGTCAGATATGATAGTTTTAATTCTTTTGTTGAGTTTGTTCTCAACTTCAACCTTAAAATTTTTTAACACATCCAATGACTGTGATTTCTAATAAATCAGATAAAGGTAGCTATATCTACAATAATTATCTATGAATGTTATGAAGTATTGTTGACCATTCTATGAAATCGTAGGAAATTATCTACAAATATTCGTATGTATAAGTTTTAATACGTCTGTAGCTCTGTTGGTATCCAATCTTCTGATGTTTGTCTATTTCTCTTTGATACAATTAACACACATCAAAATATGCAAAGTCAAGGGTATCAAAAATTCATCTGACACAAGTCTCTCAATTATCCTTTTAGAGATATGACCTAATCGACTGTGCCATAATGAGGCAGAATTTTCACTGGTCAATTTTCGCTTTACACCTCGTGTACTCACATGCAAAAATTTATTAAAAGAAACAATTGTATCAAGTAAATAAAGATTATCGTGACCTGATAAAGAACTAGTACCAACCAACTTTAAATCATGAAAAAATCTAAACTTTCCATTTCTAAAAGAATAAAAATAATTAAATTTGTCCAAAACAGAAACCAAAATCAAATTTTGTCTAAATGACAATACAATATAAGTCTCATTCAAATCGAAATAATAACCCGTTCTTAACAATAATCTAAATACTTCAATGGCCTCAACTTCTATTGATTTATGATCACCAACATGAATAAATTTGGCATCTTTACTTGGCTTCTGGTAACTCAAGTAACCTTGTATAGACATACTGATGTGAGTTATTCTACCAGAATCTATCCACCACGTGTGTTTAGGTATCAAAGTTAAATTAACCTCAGAACAAATAAAGTTAAAAAAAACATACATTTCTTTACACGCTATGCATAATAGTTAGTGCATTGCTTCTTCTAATGACCTGAAGCTTTACAGATGAAACATATATCTTCATTTTAGATATTTTGTTATTTCTTTTGTGGTGCTAGAACCACAACATTGTTACCCTTTTTTCTCTTTTTATTTTATTGTCCTTTGAGACCATGGCTAAGTGAGCACTCTCTGTCTTCTCATGCTTCAGGCTTTCTTCCT